GCTTCAAGTTTGACCCTCACAAGTGTCCACCATGCCTAGCCACAAGTACGACTACCCAATAATTTTTCAATGTAAACTGGACTTATCAGTCCATTATGGACTATGTTTAAGCTGCACTCAGACTCAGTTCAGGGAATTCGAGCACAGGTCCAATTCCCTAAATCAAGAGCCCCTCACCAGTATCAAGGAACCTCCCTTGAGGAGTAGGTAGAGAGTTCCTCTTGAATTTAGCTTCAGAGCTGATGTTTTTTAATGGAACGTTTGAATTATATTTTTCTTATGTATGTATATCTAAAGAGGGTTTCGGGGGTCAACGCCTCGAGGCCCGGTCTGTGACCAGGCCTCGTGGTGGATCAGAGCCTGATCAACGAGGCTGTTACTGTTGGCCGAACGCAAATCGACGTACGAACCACAGCCCAGTTGGTCAGGTACTGACTTTAGGTACCTTTCCAGCACCTTCTTGAAGACAGCCAGGGGTCTGTAATCCCCCTTATGTATACTGGGAGCAGTTCTCCTTATTGTCATTTTTATTTCCCAGACTCTGACCACTGAGTCTAATACTTCCTCTGATTATGCTACTACTAGTAGTAGTAGTAATAATGTTAACAATATTATTATTATTTTATTAAGTTGGAGACCATTGTTATAATTATTTTCTACACCTGCAGCTGCCTCTACTGAGCGTGTTGAGCACGGAGCTGAGGTTCGTCTTCAAGTGCAAGGGATCATCAAAGCCGGTAAGGAAGAAAGCTTGCGAGTCTGAAGCTGGTGACATCAGCCACAACATTTACGGCTCCGATGTTTACAACTACACTGGCAAGAACCCACTCAGCTGATTGCCAGATGTGGCGTCACGCCCTGACGTCACGGATAAGTGTCATCCATGGACGCTGCCCAGCTACGTCCCACCTCCACCTTCCCCAGTAGTTAACCCCGAGGAAGCTACTGTCTATCAGGATGCTTCAGCTACCCACCACAACACAGACACCACTCAGAACTCCTCACCGGCCTACTGTATACAGAGTCGGGAATCTTCCCCCTCGCCAGTAGCTACTCAGAGTGAAGATGCAATTGATGCGGCTAATCTGAGGCAGAGGAAGAACTGGTAGTGACTGTTGATTAGTTAACCTCTAGTGGCGTCTAGTTTTGTTGTTCCACTTGTATGATGGTGCAGGTAGTGGGTCGTGTACTGGGTCTCTCACTCTTTCTATGCTCCCTTCCCTGAGGCTCCTGAAGAGCCTCAGACACTACAAACTTTCCAAGCTGACGAAAAAAAAAGCCTCCTTAGAGTATTTTTCGCAGCTATAGTAAAGTATATACACCCATTGTTAGTACCCGAATGGATAAACCCTCACGGTACAATACTGAAGAATTGTTCATAGACGTAAACTTTGTATGCCATTAGATGGTAAGATAAGATATATTTTGAACACTTAAAGTGATTATATTTTTGGGGGGAGGGGGAAAGCGACAATAAATAAAATACTTGTGTGTGTTTGCTAGGTGCTAGTGACGTCACTCACCATGCACTTAGTGAGACAATCCATAATTGTATGGTGAACCCAAGTCGCACTTCTCATGATTTTTTGCCTGAAGAACACCGGAAACAAGTGGTAATCACAACTTATGTGTTCACAACGTTTGCCTATGAACATTGTTGAGCCCAGTTTATTTAATAATTTTTTGGTAAACTTTCTTGCAACTTATGCGCCTGGCAGCTCCACATTTGCTAACACATTCACCAGGATTTTATTACCCGTGGAGTATATTTTGTATTAATTATTAATTACATTTTGGTTAAATACACCGAGAAGTGTATATAAACATGGTGTTTATGCAGCGAGAGATTACTTTAATCCTTATTTTAGAGATTAAAATACCTTACAAGATGGTGTACAGGTGACATACATCCTTGAAGACCATCGTATAGTCGATAAACTTAAAACCTAATCAACCCATCCTGATCAAAAAAGTTTACTGTATTGAGGTAATATATATGTCGTGCCGAATAGGTAAAACTGGTCAGTTAGCAAGAGCTCATTTAAAATTAAGCCCTTTCTAAAAACAATTCGTATACATATTTTTTTTCATTTATGTTAATGTAAAAATTAATTTTGTACCAAAAGAACCTTAGAGAGCTTACCTAACCTTATTATAACAAGCGAAATTTAACTAGGCTAATCCAAATAAATATGTTTTAGATAAGTTTACAATAATTTAATAATAAAGAAACACAATGAAATATATTTTTTTCGTTAGGTTCGGAATTACTTTTGAGAAATTATTGCATACACAAATTTTCGCTTGCCTTATTCGGCAAGATGTGCGTTGCTATTTAAGCCAAAATCGCAAGTTTTACCTATTCGGGACGACATATATATAAAGAGTCCACCTCTAGTGCAATATATGGAGTCCCTTAGTCTCGGAGAAGTAAGTGAAATGTCTTCTAGGAAGAGTAGAGACCCTTCCTAGAATCTCAATCTCTCTCTCTCTCTCTCTC